TAACAACAACAATAGAAAACAATGTCCCCACCGGTCGATTTAGTTGCTATATACTATTATTACTACCTCTCTCTGTTGTACCAACAAAGAGAGCAAGAGGAGGAKGCCCCCGGCCATTGTCCCATTCCCTGTACTATTATTTTCCTTGACATGGATCAAAACCCAACCAACGGCAACAACAACAACACCATGGCCGGCAACAACAACAACGCCAACAATGGCCGAAGAGCTGGTTCCTTCAACTACTCAGAGGAAGAGCTAGAGAGTCTCGTGGAGTTGATAGTGGAGGTGCTCCCCATTGATTCCGAACAGTGGGATACTGTTGTCRCCAAGCATGCTGTAAAGTATCCCTTTGATAGAAGCAAGAAATCCATCAGGAACAAGTACAACGCCATAAAAAAAAAGAGGAGCTCAACTGGTAACCTCAACATGCCTAGATAYGTGAAGCTTGCCAAGCGCGCCCATTACTTGATAGGAAGGAAAGCAAACCTTGGTACCGGAGAGGAGGACTTTGACATGAAGAAAGGCTTCATTGTTAGTGAGGCTGAGGAGGGTTTGGAGAGGATCCCCWMTGCTGAAGTACAGCAAGGAAGAGCATCGGTTATCCATGCTGGAGATCCATCGACTGTAGACTCATCCATTGTGAGGCCAGCAAAAGCAAAGTCTTCTACTCCCAATAAAGAGAGCTTATTCAAAAGCTCCCAACGCAACTGTATTCAATGAGTATTTGATTAGCCAGCAACAAAGGGACAAAGAAAATCGTGAGATGGCTTTAGAGCAGTCCAAGATTGCAAAGGAGCACTCGTTAATAGCAAAAGAGACAACCMAAATTGCTAAAGAGACCAATCAGATGTGGAAGGATGCTCTCGGAATGGCAATGGCCTGCTTTCAGCAATGGCAAATCACTCAGAGTACAACCAACGATAACAACAACAAGAACGCTTACCAGTCCGTCAACAAACGGCCCTGTCACAGCACCAGCAATGAATCCCATGGTGAAAACAACTAAAAACGCAATGTCAGTTACTTCTGTTMAGCACTAATTCAAATGAACTAAATTACATGGATTGAAATCAACTAAATGAGCCTATCAGCTGCTGTATGCAAGCAGTATTGCAAGCAGTATTCCTYGCTGTGACAGTAAGTGGTAGTACTGATTGTACTTATTCCTTCACTCCTTTCTTGTATGGGTTTTTGTGCATACCCTATATCAGTTTTTATGTACACCGATGTGGGATTAGAACTGTTTTCTGCTAATTTAGCACGTGGGGATTCCCACCAAAACTGTTCATATCGGCATGCACATGGAACAAATCATAAAGTTGTCTTCATGGTAGGATAACAATGAACTTATATTCATTACGGTATAACTTGGTATGCATTGCTGCATTGGTGTGTATTACGGAACACGGAAGCGGGCTCAAGGGGTGCACAAAAAACACAAAACAGTAAGCTGTACAGCTTGCACTGCAGCTTGCTGCTAAGAATAAAGCTTGCTTGCTCCCCTCCCCACACTCCATTCATTCATTGAATACTGCTACTAATTCAACTGTACTAGTTAAACAATGCTTAAGAAAATCAACCATTTATTCACTGGACAATGAGGGGAGGCGTGGCGTCCAACAGTGCGGATGTCAACTGTCATTGTCYGTGTCATAGTCTTATATTCGCGTTCGGTATCAGTAATTCACTGGTAATTCATTTGCTAATTACATTCCTTTCTAAACAACTAAACGATCGACCATGGGATTTGCCTTCAAAACAAGCCGTTCGCGTCAGGGGACAGCTCGCGCCCAACATGGAAAAAGCCTTTTGCAAGATCATGCTTCTTATATGGTTCTTCCGCAGTTGCTGCTGGCGTCGTCATGAATGTTGATAGGATTTGGTTGTGTCCTACAGTACTGCATTGGTAGTTGTAGAGGTTGATCAACAAGTTCATGATGATCTTCCTGTCTCCATGGTCCTCCAAGAACATCCTGTCTTTGATTCTTGGAAATTGTCCTTGAATCATCCTCATTCYCCACTCCGGCATCTGCCTCAGGGATGTTGCATCCCGATTGATCAGGAGAAGATCTTCCTGTTCAGGGTCCTGCTGTGAGCTTTTGATGAGGATATGCTCCTTATCTTTCAAGGCAAAGGCTGAATCCACCACAACCTTTGCATTGGACTGGGCGTGGACCTCTTCAATCCTGTCATAGACGCCATGGTTGGCAATGGCGCTGTCATGCCATGCGCCTGGACAGTTGAAGACTGCAATTCTGATTCTACCATCTGGTGCAAAGGCAAACACACTGTTGACAAAGGTGTTCTCCTTCCAAGCATTGTAGAAGACTCTCTGTTTGAACCAGTCTTCAGAGGTTTCAATGGCACTCTTTAGACCATCTGCAGCAGCCCAGACCCTTTTTTCTCCAAGCTGTGGATACTTTTCTCCAATTGCCTTAACATAAGCATCCACTTCKTGCTCAGTTGGGAYACTGACCATGGCCTCTGGACGTTTGTGAAGAGCAACAAGCATCACTCTTCTTGAAAACTTGAGCCACTTATACATCACTATGGATGTAAAGCCAAACGCCATTGCCATAGACCTTGCAACAGATCCTCTTGTTCTGTACCAGTAAAGKACCAATCCAATAGCACAGACAGCATCGACCTCTCTCTTTTCCCCTTTGGGCTTTCCACTGGGGAAGAAACAAGAAACTTCCACAATTTCATTGGTGTCCCTGTCGACAGTAAACTTGTTCCATACTGGAGTAAACAGGTCAACAAGCTCCCTGAAGACCTTGTGGTCAACACCACAGCAGTTTAGGAGAGCTTGGTCATCCCCTGAGTGGAACATGCACAGGAAAGGGGAATGAGCATATCTCCTGATTGCAATCCTTGGGGTTCTCCTGTCCCTCCTATGACGCTCCTCAGGAGAGAACTTTTGCTTGTAACTTTGGTTATTCAGATGAATATACCAGTACATCGTGATGACCTCCACTACTCCCATTGTCGTTGTTGTCGATGTTGCCTTTTTTCTTGCTAGGAGGAAACTGTTGTCTTTTAGTGTGTTTGTTGACTCGTTAGCAGAGAGGACTAATGCATGAACTCATTTTCTGATATAAAAAATAATAAGCAGAAAACATGCTTGTGCATTACTCTACTTACTAGCGTAAAACATGAACTCATTTTCTACTGATATTGAAAATAAGCAGAAAATGAGTTCATTTCTTACTCTAGTTGCTGAGTATCGAAAATTTCATGTTTTCCTTTGTACCGCCAAGAAGTGGCGCGCATTTAAGTCTTTCTAGTCTTTACGTTGATAAATAGTTANGCCACCTACGCAAGACAGTGTGGGGGAAGCAAGGACAATGTTGATTATAGAGCTCGATGGAAGTCTAAACGCCAGCAAGATAGGTACACTGACACTCAGCTTGCCTGGCCTGATATCGACATTGCAAGCAAGCTTTGCTTTGGAGGAATCTGTCTGTACAAGCCTGAAAGGACTGGAATCACTGACGAGTGGCTTGCTTCTTCAGTTGCTCCTAATATTGCCAATGTGTTTGGTAACCAAGTCGCGGCTATCCTTGGCAAAGCATTGCTTTGGGCTTGCTGTGATCCGGCAATGCAAGCATCGGGCTTGATCCCTGAGGACATGAAGCAGGATGTTGTCGGTTCTTGGGTTCAACTCAATTACAGTCTTCCAGTTGCTGAGAGGTTGGATCGTGATGTGAATCCTATCAAGAAAGTTGAGCTGATTGTTAATGAGATGAGTGGGCAAGTTCACTTTGATGAGGTTGCTGATCCGGATGATCTGCTTGATCGTGGTCCTGGTGGCGGAGGGGGCGCCGGCGGAGCTGCTGTTGGGATCCGTCGGAGTCAGTTACAGTGGAACCATGCAATGTTTTCAAAGCTATTTGCCACAGCTAATGAAGTGAATGAAATCAAGAACAGACAGATTGCAAGTGAAGCAAAGTTCAATCAGAAGCTCAATCGAGCCATCCAGCTGTCCCAAAGAGCTGCAATGGCACCAGTCGTAAGAAGGAGGCCCCGGGGCCCTCCTTGTGCGTTGAACAGTGGCGCATCCGAGACTGGCAACGCTCAGCTGACTAAGTGTCCTCACGATCTTTATGTCCTCTGGAATGAATGGGAAGTGGGTGTTGGTCTGAACAAGCCTGCAAAGGAGTTTACAGCGGCTGAGCGCGGTAGGGTGAAGAGCAAGTACTGCAGGAGGCTGAAGTTCTGGAGGTGTATGGAAAGACTCATCAGAGCTGGTTGTTCTTCTGAAGTCGCTGTTAGAAGAATCTATTCAGTGTATGGAGGCCCTTCCAAGCGTGTCTCTTACATCCTTAAAGCTATGGGTCCCCATGAAGCCAATGGGGGTCACCACATGCTGCGCGGACCGGCTGTTGCTTCTTAATCGTCGGCGACGTTGCTTCTTAATCGTCGGCGACGTTGACGCTTTGTTCTTGTTCTTTGTTGCGTTGTTGCGTGTCGAAGTGTTTGTTCCTTACTACTTGTCCCCCCCTTATATCGAAAAAAAGCATAAAAATATAGTGTACTGTGTATATGTTAAGTGTAGTTTGCTAGCCTCAACAAGAGGACCATCTTGATAGCTGACAGGAGTGTTGATATCAGTGTTGTGTTGTTATCGACGTGATTGTCGAGAATTACTCTCACGACTTCGTTTTTTTTCATAGAATTTGCCTTCAGCGTGATGGTGTGAGTACGTCTCATCAACCACGCTGATACTCTTCTCTCCGCGCACGCTTGGTGCACGCTGTCTCATCTACATAGAATATGTACTGTGTCCTACACGGTTGTATTTTTAGTTGATATTTTGTTTGATACCTGCCTGATACGTACGTACTTGTACGTATGAGCAATGAGCACCTGCACCAGCGCTCTCGGCTTCTCGATCTCCATGATTTTCATTGGGTGATTCCCGTTATTCTAAAAACTCTAGATTTGATAGACTGACAGACCAAAAATTTAGTGAAAACGACTCCAGATTTAGCAAGTTTAGGACCGGTCAAATCGACGCATCCTAAATACTCTACATTTAGAGCGGAATCCACGAATAAAAATTTTGGGTCCGTTGAGGGACTCTTAAAAGACTCAACAGAAAGGCCTGCCAAAATTAAGACTCCGTTGTTGTATGAGCAAGCAACAAGGCGCCTCTANGAAGGGGAGAATCCTCCTCCTTGGCTCCATTCCATAAGGATCCAAGCAATGTAACCAAGCCTCTTCCAAACATATCGATATCMACCAGCTGGTGGTGGTACTAGTTTGCCCCAGCTGGATCCCCTGTTCCTCCAGAAGCACCCCGAGTCGAATCTTCCGGTGTTGAAGTTGTTTCCGGCATTCGTGTCGGAGAGTAACAACAACAACAACCCCAGCCCCCAGTATTCAACCAAGACTATTCCTTTGAAGAACATACTCAGCTTTTCAAGAAGATTCCAAACATCTCCAAGCAGTCCCAGTATTTCACGGACCGGAAGAAGATTCTGGTCACTATTGTTGTTGTTTCCGGCATTCGTGCCGGAATGCAACAACACCAACCCCAGCCCCCAGTACTCAACCAAGACCTTTCCTTTGAAGAACAACGCCTGGATGTATATGCTACATCATACATCATACACAGTTTCAAGAAGATTCCCCAGCATCATCTCCATGCAGTTCCAGTATCAGTTCCAGTATTTCACGGACCGGAAGAAGATTCCGGTCACTATTGTTGTTGTTTCCGGCATTCGTGCTGGAGTGCAACAACACCAACCCCAGCCCCCAGTATTCAACCAAGACCTTTCCTTTGAAGAACAACGCCTGGATGTATATGCTATATCATACTCAGTTTTAAAGATTCCCCAGCATCATCTCCATGCAGTACCAGTATCAGTTCCAGTATTTTACGGACCGGAAGAAGATTCCGATCACAATTGTTGTTGTTTCCGGCATTCGTGCCGGAGTGCAACAACACCAACCCCAGCCCCCAGTATTCAACCAAGACCTTTCCTTTGAAGAACAACGCCTGGAGTATATGCTTTATCATTTATCATACTCAGTTTTAAAGATTCCCCAGCATCATCTCCATGCAGTTCCAGTATCAGTTCCAGTATTTTTCGGACCGGAAGAAGATTCCGGTCACAATTGTTGTTGTTTCCGGCATTCGTGCCGGAATGCAACAACACCAACCCCAGCCCCCAGTATTCCACCAAGACCTTTCCTTTGAAGAACAACGCCTGGATGTATATGCTACATCATACATCATACACAGTTTAAAGAAGATTCCCCAGCATCTCCAT